TTATTGTATCTTGAAACCCTTACTACAGATGAGAAGAGCACTTGGGGCCTCTTTGAGGTTTTTTATCCCTAATTTTCTGGATTGATTCTCGAGAAAGGGGAATGGGGGGAGGAAGAGAAGGAGGGAAACGTCTACGTGAGAGAGAGAAACGTGGCTCACTTGCCTCTTGCCTGGTCCCTGGCAGGGGACCAAACCCGGAGCCAGGCATGGGCCCCACCGGGAACGGAACCCAGGACCTTTCTGTTTGCAGGACGGGGCCCAACCCCCAGAGCCACACCGGCCAGGGCCACTTTCAGATTTGAAGACAGTGTAGATCGCTCTTGACGACAGCACTCCACCCATTTAGTCCGGGACTCATGAGTCTCTGGATGTGGAATGGGGCCCCGAGGAGGAGAGGGACCTTGTCCAGGGCAGGACAAAGCTGCTGAAGGAGCTAATGTGCACTTTCGGCCACATGACCCAATGTCCCCAACACACAGCCCGGGCACCTGACCGTGGGGCTGGAAATGCCCGCGACAATCCAGCTGCTCAGACTCACTGAGCCATACACGTGGGTGAGTGCTGCAGCACCCGTGCTACGGCGCAGTCAGAAATGAGCCCAGCAGCGCCCAGGACTCATCAGGAAACTGAGTAGGTGACCCAGGGCCCAGTGCATCTCCCTGTGCCCCAGGAATGCAGGTCACAGCTGTGCCTGTTTGCCACGGACAGTGGACCTGGGAGGCCTGCATGTGGACCTGTTCACGGGTGAGCTGCTTCAGTCACCGGCTGTGCCCAATGTAAGGGTCAGGACAGGACGGTAATAAAGGACAGTGGTGAGGGGAAGTCTGCTTACTGGGCAGCGCAGACAGAAGTGTACTTTGGTCTTGAATTTTTTTGGAAGGAAAGTGACCTGAAGCTCTTGAGTCCATACACATCATCTAAATGTCCTATCGCATTTGCAGGCAGGGGGAGTGGTTTGCCTCGTGGGCCAACTTGCTGAAAAGGGCCAGATGGGACACGGCGTCAGCTGCCTCCCAGGTTTGGTGCGCGCTGTTTCCTTTTTCGTTTGCTTGAAGAAGTTGTTTCTCTTTATGTATTCTTTGACCCAACAGTGTCCTGATTTCCTTGAATTGTTTTTCTGTGTCTCCTGGGAGCTCACTGAGCCTCCCCAAAGTAGCTATTTTGAATTATTTATCAAGGAATTAACAGAACCTCACGGCCTTCGTGTTGGTTACTGGAAGATTATGGGGACCCATCGGTAGTGTCATGTGCCATGGGTTTTTCATGTTCTTGAAGGTTTACATTTCTGTCTTTGCGCTGGAAACAGCAGTCGCCTCCTCCAGCGTTCGCTGACTCGGGCAGAGAAACGCCAGAGGACGCAGGTTTTTTCTCTCAGACCCGTGGGCACCCCCGCTCCGCGCTTCCTGCGCCCTCTAGTGGCGGAACTCTGGAGCTCGCCTGCCTTCTCTGGTCTCGCCATGAACCAAGCAGGACTAGGGCTGACAGCCTCTCTTCAGTTTTCCCAAAGGTGGCGCTCAAGCTCAAGTTCGCGGTTTTCCTCTGGCTTGCAGGTCCCAGCCAGCTTTCCGCCTGTGCTCTTGTCACAGCCTGGAAGTACCTCATTGTCAGCGTCCACACAGCTAGGGGAGCGGTGCTCACGCACACACTCCTGCGCCTCCAGCATCCTACATCCCATCCCCCGCCCCTCCGACCCCACCCCCTCGAGAAATCACAGGCGGGAAGATCTCTCCTGACCCTCAGCTGTGCTGCCTTCTGGGCAGGGATCACGCGTATAAACTCAAGCTGTTTCTTTCTTTCGCCAATACATCCAAACTCTTTTTTTTTTTAATCCAATGGAAACCTAGACTTCCAGAAAGGCTCTTCTTGTCCGTTGGTAATTGTCTTAGGGCAGTGTGTTTTCAGGGGCTGCAAGACCACAGCCAGGAGGGCTTGAGCCGGTTCATAGGGCACTGCGGGACCCACAGCAGGTCCATGAGACTCTTACCTGACAGACAGGTGGTTGAGGTTCCTCTGGGGTCCATGGGTGCTGGGTCCCATGGCTCCCAACAATGTACTTCTGTGTGTGTGAGGGGGGGGCCAGTTTACTGTTGCTGAGGGCCAGACAAAGACAGCTTATCCCTCCACGATGCTCTTGTCACTGCTGGGAAAACTGATTTAGGGCCCGTGTGCCTGGCAGTGTTGCTGGGGAAGGGGAGGGACAGACTGTCGGGCAGGTCTGGGCACGGGCGGCCAGGAAGGAGTCCACAGCCGGGATGAGGCCTGCAGGCGGGGCCAGGGCTGAGCGTGTCGGCCACGGGGCATCTAAGGGAAGGGGTGGCAGTTGTCTTGAAATAAGACAGAGCCCAGGCAGAGGAAGAAAAGGACTTTCAGCATGTTTATTCCTTTTCATATTATTTTTTACATTATAAAGATTCATTTACTCAACAAATATTTATTAAGCACCTACTATGTGTAAAACACTGTTCTCAGCACTTCAAATATATGAGGACAAAAACTTTATCTGTCTTCATGGAGCTCATGTTCAAGGGTGGCACAGGTTTGGTGTGAAGCTTTGAGAAAATATCGAACCTTGTAAGGAAGAAAACCAGCATTCTCATCCCGGGATCAGAACACAGCCAGTGTTACCATTTTGTTGCATTTTTTGTTCACTTCTTGCTATGCCTGTGCTCACACATCTCTATTAAGTTTGGGGATTTATTGTACCTGTGATTTACGTAGTGCTGTAGGGACTGTGAAAGGATAGGAAACTGTCTAACGCTCTTCATCAAAAGTGCTCAAGGGTGTTCTAGAAATTTTATTCCTCAACGGTCTGAGAATTATTAGGGGCTGAAAATCCCCAAGACTTTGTAATATACTGATGAGATGCATGTGTGTGACCGGGAGAAAAGTGGGGGGGAACCAAAAGAAATCTTTTTCCAGTTTATGACTCATTCCACTAGAGGGCAGATGTAGGTGTCAGTGACCAAGAGCCCAGTTTCGGTGAGAGGAGCAGGTGTGACATGCAGAAGAGGGAGCTCTGAGGCATCCCCAGGGCCTGCAACCAGGCACCAGCTTGGAGCTGACCAGCAGCAAGGTCAGAGCTGGAGACACAGGGCAGGACTGTTCCTTGAGCAGGACCAGGGGTGAGACCCCTTCGCTAGGCGTGTGGAGTGGGGAAGGGTGGGCACCTCATCCCAGGGATCTCACACTGCCCCACAGCAATGGCCTGGGGCTTCCCAGTCTGGGGGAGCCTGAGATGATTCTAGGACATTCTAGAGTTTTCATCTACTCTGGCATACACCTCACATGGCTCCAAAGTTCTCTGATGGAGTCATCCCTTGGGCTCAGCCCTAAGGAAATGGGCTGATGGGATCAGAAATTGAGGGAGAGATTTTCTGTGTTTATTTCCTCCCTCCCCCTCCACACACACATACTTTGTTGAACTTGACTTAGATTTTTCCATGTAAGAATGCTTAATTATTCAAGAGAAAAGAAGTTCATGTCAGAAGGTTGCCAGATGGGAGGGGAAAGGAGAGAATGGGCGAGGAGGTGAGGGGAGTAAGAAGTACCACTGGGTAGTGCAGAACAGCCATGGGTGTGCAGTGCCGTGGAGGAAGTGAGGCAGCCAAGGAGCTTACACACACGACCCACGGACATGAGTGAAGGTGGGGGCACTGCCTGAGCGAGCGGAGGGTGCTGGGTGGGGGGAGCAAAGGGAGGCAGTCAGGACAGCTGTAACAGCATAATCAACACAATATAACTTTAAAAGGAATGCTTAGTTATTGCAGGAAAACATCAGGGAAAACTATGCGTTGGAAGTTGAGCAGCAGCATTGTGAAGACTGCAAATTTACCTGGTTGATGCTTGCTCTTGAACATGGAAATTATCAAGTTGTGAGACATCCTTGTATTTAACATCTCTGGGAGTCCACTTCCATCGGTGGCCATTGTCCTTCACAAGCAGACACACTTTAGGCACAAACTCACCCACATGTATATGACAGCTTTGAAACCCTTAGTGATGGAAGAGTATATTTTCCCGGACCCTGCTCGGGTTCTCCAGCGGGGCCCTGTGAATCAGACGGCCCAGAGACCCACTGCCCTGTGAAAATGTCCAGCACAGACCTCAGCCTAGACAGGGAGGAAGAGGGCTGTGGGCGGAGCTCCCCGCCCTCTGCCCTGAGAGAGCCTCCCCAGGAGGACTCTGACCCCAGGAAAGGACAAGCTCCTGTGCTGAGCTTCCCTCCTTTTCCGCCCTGTTCACACCCCAATGTTTTCCTCTCCAGGTCGCCTCCCACTACATTCTCCTTGGTCCTCCTCAGGTGAGACTCCACACCTGGCTGGGAGCAGAAGGGTGCTGATGGCGGCGCCCGGGGCAGGGAGAGGGGCCACTGAAGACCCGGTCCTCGCAGCTGCCGGAGGATCTAACTGCCCCCTTATTGGGCAAAAGGGCAAAGACCAGGACCACCAAGAAGCACCCCCGGTGGGCAACACCCAGTGGATTCACCATGTTTGAACAAAAACAGGCTGAACACAGCTGACCAGAACAGAGATGGTTTCAGGGGCAAGGACGATGTACGTGATGTGGGGGAAAGTCTAGCCCATGAGTGTCTGGATGTGATGGTGCGTGAGGCTCCAGGTCCCATACTTTTCATCAGGCTCCTCACGATGTTCGGTGAAAGGTTAAAGGGCACAGGCCAGGGGATGTCATCAGAAATGCTTTGACGAGGAAGCAAGGGGCACGATTCAGGAGGGTCACCCCACAGAGCTGCTGCCAGCAGGGGGAGAGGGGGCCCAGGCAGGGGAGTGAGTGAGCTGTGCAGAGAAGCCCCTGGTGACACCGAGAGAAGCTCCAATTGCACTGAGCTCAGGCGCCTCCTTCAGCACCGAGCAAACAAGGAAGGTGACTGAAAGGAACACCAGACTCCAACCAAATGTCTTCTTGTAGCCACTGGGGATGTTTCTGAGACTTCCCCTTAGAGCCTAGAGTATATCCTAGCACTCTGGGGGGCAGTTGGTATTTCTAAGATTTATTCATTTAGTTTGAGAGAGAGGGTAACAGAAGGAGAAAGAGAGGGAGAGAAGGCTCAGTTGGTTGCCTCTGGCTGCGCTGAAACGAGGACCGACCCTGCATCCCGGGCGTGTGTCCGAGGAGAAGGGGACCAGCGACCTTTCAGTTCTCAGGAAGACACACAGCCCACTGGCCAGACCAGTCAGGTGCCTTTGCTGTGGCGGCACCGAGCCATCTTGGGTGAGTGCTACATCTCTGTAGCCAGACTGGAGAAGTGACTTGTTCTGTTTTTCAGAAAGGAAATGGGGTTATTTAATGTACCAGTCCTCCTCCCCCAAATAACCCCAGACCACAGAGACTCAACAGTAACTTTTTCAGAGAAAGTTGTTCACTCAACTTTTCTAAACTGTAATGAAACTTTATGATTAACATATAGTAATCCCAAATCTTCTGACTTCTCTGCAGTATGTTCCCCTCTGGTCTTAGGGAGAGAGGGTGGGGCCCTGAGCTTCCCTCCCCTGGCCTCAGGAAGTGCTTGCAGCTGAGAACAGGGCAGAGCCAGCGCCCCCTCCCCCAGGGGCTGAGCTCAGTCTGGCTGGGAGGGGAGAAACTTGTATTTCTAACCACCCACCAGCTCAGAACCTGAGATGGACAGAGGAAGGGTGACACCCATGTTGTCCTGATTCTTTATTTTGCAGTATTTTATATTCATTTCACCAATTTCAATGTCTTTCTTTGCATTACTTTCTTCATGGTTATGAGGATCAGGCATATCTTCTACCCTTTCCCATAAGTGAGCTGTTCCCTCCACAATTGTTCTGGTCGTGTAGAGAGCAGTGAAGCCCAGTGTACAACTACAGCTGCACTGCCCAGCTTTTGCCCCCAGTGCTTTGGAATCCTAATCCTTGACTCTTAGAAGCCAACCACGGTTGAGTTGTGTCAGGAGTTTCCATACCACTACGAGGAAAAACTGGTACTAAATATTGCACTAATGGTAGGAAACCACCTACATATATGTCAAAGATGAGGATTTGAGAAAAGGAGATAACTCTTAGAATTAATTAAATGTACGAATACATTGTGCATTCCTTCATCTTCAGCCCTAATGTCCTTGAATTTTGTTTATCTCCTGAAAACAGCACAGAGCTTACACTGTAATTATGTTAACTATTTAATTCGATCACACTCGTCTTCTCTGCTGGTACTGAGGGAGTTCAGAAGTAGCCTCTCCCAAACCGGTCACCTTGGACTGTTTTAAGCTGAAGGCGATCAAAGCCCAGTAGATTCAAGAAAAACCTCGACCCCTCCCTCAGCTACCTAAAAGCGTTAAAGGGCCTGGTTCACGGTACTTACCAGGTCCACCTTTCTCTCCGAACAGCCTATCTCTACGGCAGGGCAAACCACTCACTGACCCGTGAACCCCTCCCCTCCCCTTGGAAGCCCCAGGACGCTCACCCATTCCTTACCTCTGGAAGGCCCCTGAGCCTCCCTGGCCTGACTTGGCCCCTGAAGAGCAAACCATTCGAGGGAAACGCCGTCTGGGGGAAGAGACAGCAAAGGCCTTTGCAGGCTGCACTGCCAGGGTCTCGCTGCCAGGCGCAAACCAGCGCCTGTGGCCGCCTCACCCGGACTCCCAGCGCGGACAAACCTCCCCCGCCGCTGAGCGGCGTCTGCCGCGCTCACAGCGCCGCCCCGCGGGCCGGGCGGCCCGGGAGGGAGAGGAGAAGCAGGGCCAGAGCGCAGCCCGCCCGCGGGATCCGGCTCCTGCCCGGGGGCGCCCCAGCCGGCCCCAGCCTACCCCCAACCTGCGGGGCAGGGGGAAGACGGAGAGCGGGGTGACCACGGAGACCCACCGGATGGCCGCCAACCCCGGGGCTACAAGGAGAAACCAGGGGCCAGGTGGACTGTGCTCCATACCGCGTCCGACAAGGCGCCGGCGCCGCGGGGACGGAGAACAGGCCGAGGACGCGGCGCATCTCTCATCTCTCGGTGCCGGGCCCCCGCAAGGAGCACGCAGCGGGGTGGCTCCAAAGGAAAACCTTTCTCTGCGCGGACGGGGGTGCTGCCCCCCAAAAAAAGTGCGGACTCGGGGACTTGAGCGGCGCTAACCCGAAAGCCCGGGCTCCCAGCAGCTACAAGAACACAAAATGTGGACCAGGCTGGGGAATGCCCGCAGCGGATGTCGCACAACATCCCTGCAAACTCACTTCGTGGAAATGACTGGGTCTGAGGCCGCCGCTTTCAACCGATCCTCCGGCTTCTGCAAACCGCAGCTGCGATGACCAATCGCTGCAAAGGTCACCGCGCTTCCTGCGTTCCTCTTCACACCCTGTGCGCCCTGCTGGCTTTCAGACAGTCTAGGTCTTCGGGTCCCGTAAGGCGCTCTGAACACTCTTTCAAGGCTGTGCGGAGGGGAGCCCTGCCGCCCCGCAGCCGGTGAGTAGCGGCGCCGGTGCCCCGGCGCCCACCGCCCTCTCAGCTCGGGGTTGGGGGGGTCAAGCCCAGCGGGGAGCTCCACTGCGTTCGCGTGGGCTCTCTGGTGTGGTTGAGGCAGTTTGGTTGAAGTTGCTTAGTAAACCACCCTTTCGGGCGAGAGCCCTGGGGGACTTTGACAAACAGGGTCCGTCCGAATTCCCCTGCTTTAAGAAGTCTAACAGCAAAGGGGAGCGGGCTGCCTCCACCTGGGCCGAAACCTGGACCAGGGTCCCCATGTCGTTTGGGCCCGTGGGTGACGTTCTGGATAGTTTGGACTCGTAGTGGCCGCTTTGGGGACACGTTCACCTGCACAATGTCGTCCGCCTCAGGGCTGGCGGTGACACAGAGGATCCCAGAAGCTCCGGGAGAAAATAGGACGCATTCCGTGAGGCGGGTGAGGAGACTTTGAAAAGACAGAACAACTCCAAAAATAGCTCCTCTAGAGGAATCCTTGTGGTGCAGAGTTTTAAAAATCTTGAGTGCAAAGCTCTAGCCACGGGAGCAGGTTCCATTACTTGTCCCACCTCCCACAAACCCAGTCAGGCTCCAGCGATTCTTCGACTTTTGTAACACTGTGGCTGACACCGAATAAAAGATTTCAATGAAATCTTTATCAAACAGTATTTCTATTTGTGTCTGTCTACAAGTTGATGTGTGTGTATGTATGTATATTATGTATATGATGTTTTAAAAGAGCTCTATATATTGGCTTAAAAAAAGAAGCCGTTTATAATTTCAGTATGGGCTAAACCTCAGAAATAATGACACTAATTCAAATATTTTCAAGTTCACGCGATCTGGAATGATCTTTGATAAATACACATGGGTCTAAGTGCCCTGGTTTAACCAAAGCTGGCTTGTTTTCACAGTTGTCAATGTTAAATGTAACCCAAACAAACACATTTTTTCCTACCGGGGGTTGCTCCTTCAGTAAGCTTCTGCATTCTCTATCTTACCGAATCTGTCAGCCAAGAGAAAAAGAAATTGAGATGATAGATCCCTGTTTAATGTCTAATCCATTGCTACTCATTAAATGACTTGTAGTTAACACAGATATAAGTAAGACAAAAGTTTGCAGTGTTAAATTAAATGATGCATATTCACTGAATAGAGAGGTGGCTCTCAAACAAGCTGTTATACTGCAAGGTTCTCGCTGAAAAGAAGTTTAGGTTGATGCAGGACAGGTAACTAAAAAGTGACGAATTCAGAGCAGTGTTACCCACCACTAACAAAGTCAAGAAAATGGGTTTACTGAAATGAAGCACAAAAAAGTGAGCACAGAGCAGGGAACAACCGTTCCGACAGAACGATGAACAGAACAGACAGAACGATGTACAGAACAGACCAAAGGACATACAGGACAGACAGAACGGTATAAGGAGAAGCTTTCGCAAACCCTACAGAGAACTGACCCTGCAGAGCGCAGGGAGCAGCCAGTGGTGCAGGGACTGCGAGGAAGCACAGGTCTCCGGGACAATCAGCGCGCAGCCGCCGCCCCCTCGGGCTCTGCGCCCACGGCCACAGGGGCCGGAGAGAAACCGGAGAAATCAGCCGCGCTGGAGCCGGACAGCGGTGGCTGAGAGACAAGGGATGGGCACTCCCCAAAGACCCGGACCCCTGGAGGGGGCAGACGAGTGCGCTTCCCAGGAGGAGCACAGTGCGCTGCCCTGTGAAACACGTGGGTGAGCGGAAGGACCGGTGTTCTGTGGCTAACACTTCATACTACATGAAAAGCACCGTGAGTTATTTATTGATTACTGCAGTAATATAGAATTCAACTGCTGTGTAATGTAACCTAGCATTCTAGCCTAAGGTGTTTTATTTTCGAGTAATCACATTTTTAATTTGTATTTTTTGGTTAAATGTTTCTTCCTTTCTTTCCATTCATTGTTTATGTTGTTTATTATATATTTTACAAATCTATTTTTATTTATTGTCAATATTTTATTTCTATTTTACTTATTTACTTTTAATTTAATCCTTTGCACAAATATTGTTTGGTCATACAGTTATTTTCATTATTTCTGTTCTATGAATTACGTATGTCATTTTTTAAAAATTTTTATGTTACAGAGATGATTTATTATTTAATTTATAAAGATAATGTTTAAGTCATTTATATTTTATTTAGAGAAATAATTTTCAATTACATTTAAAAATATCTAACTTTAAAAAAAATTTTTAAAGACTTTATTTATTTATTGTTTTAGAGAGAGGGGAAGGGAAAGAGAAAGAGAGGGAGAGAAACACCAATGTGTGGTTGCCTCTCCTGTGCACCCCGATGGGGACTTGGCCCCCTTCCCAGACCTGTGCCCTGACTGGGAATCCAAGTGGCAACCCTTTGATTCGCAGCCCTTGTCACCCCACTGGCTACACAAGCCCGGGCTGAATATTGACCTGCTGAAGATTTACTTTTGTTTAGTGCATTCTTAAGTTAACACATTGATTGATAACATTGCAGTATACCTATTTTGTATTCTGTAGATTCTTTAAAAGTTTCTTTACTTTCATCTTCTTTTATAATATGGATTTGTTTAATATGAAATTTTAACTTGCATAGTTCAATGTATTTTTATTTTCATTAAAGAAAGATAACAATATTTACATGTTTTATTAATTATATTTGTTTCTACTTTATATTTTTATGATGCTTTACAATTTTATATTATTATTGTGTTCACTTTTTACTCTTTTCAACTTTTCAATTCATTGATTAATAATATTAATGACAAGGTTCAAATATTTGCACCTTAAAATCTGTAAATACTAACTAATTTTATTTGCTATTTGTTTTGTGAGGTGCACACATTTATTTTCATACTAATCAAAACTTTTTATCTTCAGTATTATTTATACTGTAAACGAGACTATAATTTATACCTTTATAAGAACATAACTATTTGGTAAGTTTAATCATTGATACAATGTTTGAAAGGATTATAATGATATGTACTTTTAAGTATTAAATATTTCTGAATAATTTTCTGTTTGAAGTGTTTTTATTTACAAAATTTATCATTGTAATATCAGTTATCTTAGAATTTTACAGTTTTTATATTATTTTTAGACACTAAATTTTAAATATTTTATTTTCATCATTTTGTACTTTAAAATTGTATTTTGACTTAATATTTATTGTGTGTATTCATTTAATTTTTCTTTTAAATATAAGAAGAAACAAGATTAAATTATTTTATCACATTTCTATAATTTTTCATTTCAAAGATATTTTATAAAAGAAATTTACTTTTATTTTCAATAATTTTATTATTACACTTTCTATTTAATGTTTTCATTTTATTTCATTTTGCTCTTTGTAACGAAATCTAGTACATTAAACCTAGCACATTTAATCTAGTTATTAAACCTGTGCTGAGAGCTGCACTAAGGAAATTGTAAGTAGGTATGAGCAGCAGATCCTGCCATTGAAGGTCCCACAAGGGCTGAGACAGGACCACACAGAAGCCACAGAGGACCCCACAGGGTGGGCCAGGGTGGGTGGTGCTGGGAAGAGGGTGCTTCCTGGAGCCACCGCATTTGCTACTGCAAAACCGGTTCTCACTACGGTTAAGAAAGGGCTCAGCCGGATTCACTCAGACCCAGAGATCTCGAAGTCACAGTGAAACCCTGATGCTAGGGCTGAACCCCGACATGCACGGCTAAGGAATCGCAGTCGGGCCTACACCCGAACTTGCTACGGACAGGACCTGCTGTGGCTGAGACCATCACAGTGAAGTTCCCCAACTGGGGAACCTGCAACTTAGAAACTGTCCCCTGGGTGCAATTAGACGTGCTGTTCCCGGGCAATGAGTGAGTCCGTGAGAGCAGTGGCATTGCCACCGAGAAAATAAGCGTGGAACAACTGGCCCAGGGGACTCCAGGAATATTCCCACCTGGTGCCAAGGAGTGAGAGGCACGTGCATCCCCCAAGTGGTGGCAGCAAATGGTGCTGCCAAGCACACGTATCCCTTTCGTGCAAAAAAACAGTGCAGTCAGGGAGATGGTGTCCGCATTCAGGAGAAATTTGCATTCCCTGACAAGACGGAATTTGTAGCGTGGTTGAGCCTCAGCATTCAGTCCTACAGAGAGGTGTCCCATGCAATCGGAAGACGAAGCAGGGAGAGGGTGGGCTGGCTGGGGGTGGCAGAAGCCAGATGAAGGGATTGTCGGATGAGGTCCTGAGGGAGAAAGGCTGCACTTTGAGACACCTGGGGGGTTCAGTCTCAGTGAATTGCTCTGACCCAGAGGAATCTCAGCAGTTGGTTTGATTAGAAGAATCATCGTAGTGGACGTTTATTGAGCATTGGCACTTTGTGGACGCTGTTGACATTAGGATTTCTAACCTGGACATGCTTCTCTAGTTCAGATGTATTTGATAATGTTACAGAGACACCACAGGCCCCCAAATGCTGTCACTTATGCTAAAAGCCCATGACACTGAGTCTAGCCTTAACGCCCTGATTTAACGGCAATTTCAACCTTTCCAAGAAATACAGTCTCAGTCACCAGTTTGGAATTTCCCAGCAAGCACCAGGTAGGTAACCTGTCACTGGGAACCTCTTCATCTCTGCCCCCTCCCCCCAGGGAACATGGATCTGCATAGAAAAATCATTTCTGTTCTCCCTCCTCCCCACCAAAGAAGACGTCCTGGTCTAAAAATGATCCTTTCTTTCCCTAGCCTAATACCTCCTCTGCCCACCCCCTTCCTAGGAAAACCTGTCATTTTGGATAAACCCCGGGAGTGCCTTTCTCATTGCTAGATGGGATGCCGCCTGGTTTGTGAAACTTCTAACAGAGCCAATGAAATCTGTCAGTTCACTAGTGGAATTTTGTTCTTTGTCAGCAATAAGGAAGAGCCTTGATAAGTCACCGGTTTGGAATTCGGATGAGTAAGTAACATGGCCACTCCAGATTCTGGATGCTGAAAGCCTAACACTACAGAGGACTAGTGGCTGGTTGACCAGTGTCCCTGGCAGCAAGGCCTTCCCACTGGACCCCGGCTGGCTTGCAGCAGGCCACCTGGTTGTGTGCACTGGAAATGAGATTTGGGGAGAGCTACAGGAAGAAGGGGTGTGTTCAGGAGAGTGCCTTCTGGAGAGAGAAGCTCTGGGCCATAGGGGGCTAGTACCTGTAGGTGGGTTTGGGGGGCCTGCAGCAGGGAAGGCAGCAGGGTCATGGGAAGGGGCCTGGAAGGCCAATGAGATGGATTGGACAGTTAAAAGGTCAGGGAGCAGAAGCATTTGTGGGGTCAGGGGAGTTCTCAGGGCCCCAGGCTGCCTCTCTGCGGAACCCTTGGAGGCCCAGAAAGCTGGTTCCAGTTTGATGACCCACTAGCCTCCCGATCCCACCCCAGTGTGTGCGGGAGACCCCACCACCTGCCCATGAACCAAAGTCTCGACACTTAGGAGGACCCTCCCAGTCTGCCCCCCAAAACTGCAGCAGGGACACAAAAAGATGGTGGAATTTTGTGTAATTTATTAGGTGTGCCAAAGAAAATCTCACCAATGTCTGTGAAGGTAAATGTCTCACAAGAACGTTAAACTGAGAAGTGATATTGTAAGAATAGTAGGAAACAGAGTATTAGGAAGGCCCTGGAAAGCCACGGACATGGACTAGTCCAAGAAGGTCCCCAAACAGACAGCCGCCCAGCGCCTCAGAGTGCAGACAGCGCGACGCACCCACTGCAGGCAGCCCCAGGAAAAGGGCTGCGGGCGCCACCCAGCGGGGGCCGGAGGTGGGCGGCACTCTGAAGGTTGCGCGCTGTCACAGGTCTGGGTGGGCTCGGGTGTGTCTTCGCCATCCGGCGGCAGGGCCACCTGAAGGTGCTGGGACGCGGTGTCCTTTGTGGGCTCGGGAGCTCCGGCAGGTTCTGGGGGCGTCCTCCAAGTCCCCGCCTCGAAGCCGGGACTGGGCTGCGCTGCGCTTGGCTCCCGGGGGCTCTGGGTTCCGCTTAAGACTCTGTACCGCTCGTGGACCGAGGGCAGCTGCCAACAAGGACTGGAAAGCAGTTGCCCATTATAAGTGCCGTGGGGGCCTGCGGACTCTCCGCATACGGGGTAGAGGGGCAGCACCCAGGGCCCGGAGTCGGCGGAGATCTCCATCCACGGAGGCTGGGGCTGTGGCACCACGTCTCGGTCGTCCCAAGGCAGGTTCACAGCGTGGAGAAAGGGCAGCTCCATCGCACACACCTCGGACCAGGAGGACACGGGCGTCCGAGCTGATGCAGGAGGCAAAGCCTGCAGGGGCAGGAGCAGCCTGGGTGTTTATGCTGTCCTGGGTGGGGGGGCGGATGCAAGCCAGAGGTAAAAAAATCGAGTAACTCAAAATTGTGTCACCCACCACGAACAAAGTCAAGAAAAATCGGTATACCCAAATGCAATATGAAGAAATGAGCACAGAGCAGAGAACAGTCATTCCGTGAGAACGAAATACAGAGACAGACAGAATGATATGCAGAACACACAAACTGATGTACCGAATGATGACACAATGATGTACAGAACGATATACAAAATCATATACAAATCAGAACCATATACAGAATTGGACAGTGGGAACCTTTAGCAAACCCTGCAGAGAACTAACCTGCAGACAGCAGCCTGGGTGTTTGTGCTCTCCTGGGTGGTGGGCGGATGCAAGCCAGATCTAAAAAAGAAACAAAAACGAGAAATTCAAAACGGTGTCACCCACCACTGACAAAGTCAAGAAAGTCGGTACACCCAAATGCATTATGAAGAAATGAGCACAGAGCAGGGAACAGTCATTCCGCCAGAGCGGTATACAGAACAGACACAACGATGTACAGAACCATATACAACACACACACAACGATGTGCAGAACGATACAGCGAGAACCTTTAGCAACCCCCAGAGAGAACTCACCTGCCGAGAGCAAGCAGCCCGGGTATTTATGCTGTCCTGGGTGGGGGGGGGGCGGATACCAGCCAGATGCAGACGAAAATGAGCAATACAAAACGATGTTACTCACCACTAACAAGCCCACAAAATCGGTATGCCTAAATGAGACACGAGAAAATGAACACAGAGCAGGGAAGAATCGTTCTGTCAGAACGATTTTCAGAACAGACACAACGATATACATAACAGAGAAAAACGATGTACAGGACGATATCCATATCGGGCAGAAGGAGACCCAGAACGATATGGCCCGGACCTTAGAGAGAACTAACCCTGCAGAGCGCAGGGAGCAGCCAGCGGTGCCGGGACTGCCAGGAAGCACAGGTCTCCGGGACAATCAGCGCGCAGCCGCTGCCCCCTCGGGCTCTGCGCCCTCGGCCACAGGGCAGGAGAGAAACCGGAGAAATCAGCGGCGCTGGAGCCGGACAGCGGTGGCAGAGAGAGAAGGGAACGGGCACTCCCCAAAGACCCGGACCCCTGCAGGGGCAGACGAGTGCGCTTCCCAGGAGGAGCACAGTGCGCTGCCCTGTGAAACACGCGGGTGAGCGGAAGGACCGGTGTTCCGTGGCTAACGCTTCTTACTGCATGAAAAGCACCGTGAGTTATTGATTGAATACTGCAGTAATGTAGAATTCAACTGCTGTGTAATGTAACCTAGCATTCTAGCCTAAGGTGTTTTATTTTTGAATAATTAAATCTTTAATTCAAGCTGCTGGTTTCAAGCAGGAGCCTAAAGCAATGTCTTTCTATGGTCTGTTGGCCATTTCAGAAGTTAGGAAATGTAATGGTCAATCCATTAGAAAGAAACATCTGGGGGAAAAAAAGAAAGAAAAGAAAAGGAGAAAAAAAGAAAAAGAAGAAAAAACTTTTAATTCATAACTTTTGTTGAAGATTTCTTCCCCTCTATTTATTCACTTTTATATTCTTTATTATATATTTTAGAAAACTATTTTCTTATCATTACATATTTTATATCTGTACTACCTCTTAATATTTAATTCAATTATTTGTATGACTTAGTTTTTCATATGTTTATTTCATTTATGTCATATGAATTATACATTTTGTTGTTTAAATATTTATGTTGCATGGATGATTTATTATTTAATTTATATATGGAGCATATTTAAGGAATTTATATTTTACTTGTTAGTATAAAAATTTTTAAATTATATTTTCAAAGTCATAAGTAAATATTTTACATTTTACTTATATTACTAAATTTTATTACTATATTTTACTCAATTATATTTTTAAATTATAAGTAAACTCATTTATATTTTACTTGTTAATATAAAGGAATTTTAAATTATATTTTTTATATATCTAACTTAAGAAGATTTACTTTTATTTAATGTATTTTAAAGTTAACATTTTATTTGAAAATATTGCAGTAAAATTATTGTATATTTTTAGGTTTTTTTAACATTTTCCCTTTTTCTTTCATATGATTTTATAATAATATAACTACTATACATTTTAAATTACTTAGTTTAATATATTTTGACTTTTAAAGATAATATTTATGTATTTTATTAGTTACAGTTATTTCTTTTTAATTTTGTATGATCCTTTAAAATTTACTTTATCATTATGGTATTCAGTTTTTTCCTATTTTAAGTTTTAAATGGATTTTTTAAATAATATTAATGTCCATTGCCCTGGCTGATGTAACCCAATGGACTGAGCACTGGCTGGGAACCAAAGGGTGGACAGTTCGATTCCCAGTCAAGGCATGTGCCAGGGTTGCAGGCCAGTTCCAGGCAACCACACATTGACATTTCTCTCCCTCTCTTTTTCCCTCCCTTCCCCACTTGCTAATGGAAATGAATGAAATCTTAAAAGAAAATATTAATGATAATTTTCAAATATTTTAAATGTAAAAGCTTGAAATACTAAATAATGTTATAAAGTATTTGTTTTTTAGTTACTGACATGTATTCTGTTTTTTCTTCAAATCATTTTAATTTTATCTTATTTCTAATACCTGATAATAATATAACTTTATGGTAAGTTGAATACTCAATATAAGGCAATAAAATATTATAATGTATAATTTTAAATAACATCCTTCTTATTAATGTTTTCTTTAAAAAATTTTAGTTACAACATTTCCAAGCTATATAATTGGTTACCTTAGCATTTCACATTTTTTATTGTATTTTTTCAACATTAAAATGTAAATATGTTCATTACTTTGTACTTTAAAAATTCTTTGACTTTATTTTATTCTTTGTGTTCATTTAATTTTTATTTTAAATATAAAAAGAAAGTATTTGAAATGATTTGATCACATTTTTATAATTTTTAATTTAAAATATTTGTATTTAACCATATTTATTTTTATTTTCAGTAATTGTATTATTACAGTTTTTATTCATTGTTTTAATTCTCGTCCATTTTGCTATTTTCAATGAAATGCAGTGAATACATTTTTAAATTGTTTTTAAACCTAACTGCCAGCTCACCTGGTTAGTGGGCCACCGTGACAGGTCAAGTTTGTGGGATCCATCCGCAGTCAGAGCTGATGCTGCAAGAATCAACAAGTGGCCTTGGTGGGATGGCTCAGTTGGGTGGAGTGGCTCCCTGCACCCGAAGACTGAGTGTTGCCTTCCCTTCAGGCACACACCTAGGCTCTGGGTTGGATCTTCCCCCGTCCCCTGGGCGCATGCAGGAGGCAAATGATAGATGTTTCTCTCTCACATCTATCTCTCTCCTCCTCTCCCTCTCTCTCTCCCCCCACCCTCTCTCTCCCCAGCTCTCTCCCACTCCCTGACTCTCTCTAAAATCCATGTACAAAAATATCTTTGGGTGAGGATGAGAAAAGAGAAGAACCAACAAATGAATACACAAGTAATGAAACAAGGAATCCATATTTCTCTCTCTACATCAAATAAGTTTAAATTTGTAAATAACTGAAATTTTTCTTAAAATATACTGTTAAAGGTTATATTATGTTTCAACTAAAATATCCATTCAAATTTTAATTTAAGAAATTATTTAAAAAATAAATTATTTTCCTTTTTTAAGATTTTATTTATTTATTTTTTAGAGAGGGGAAGGAAAGGGAGAAAGAGAGGGAGACAAACATCAATGTGTGGTTGCCTCTCCCACACCCCCTACTGGGCATCTGGCTTGCACCCCAGACATGTGCCCTGACTGGGAATCAAACCCTTGACCCTTTGGTTTGCAGCCCAAGCTCAATCCAAGGAATGACACCAGCCTGGGCTAAAATAAATTCAATTCTTTTCAATTTTTTCATTAAATTGTGTATACTTTATTTTTAAACTTCCTTTTACTTACTTTTTAAATTTACAAACTTTCACTAAACGAAATGTTTTTACTAAGTTATTTTACTATGACACTCTTTTCTACTTAAAACATTTCATGAGTATCTAAATGAAATGTTTATTGATTTAAATTTAAAAGTTTAGCGCTCACCCCTATGTCTCTGTTGGTGAGGCAACCTCCTGTAAAAGCAAAGGATCCTCATTGCATGTCCGGTCACAGCTCATGCCTGGGTTGCAAGTTCAGTCCTGGGTTGGGGCTTCACAAGAGGCAACGGGTTGATTTTTCTCTCCCATATCCATGGTTGTCTCCCTCTCTTTCTCTCTCCTTATCTCCTATACAGATAAAGGGGAAAATGCTATCTCTATACCACATAAAAAAGCACCCCAGTTATTTAATACTATAGTAATCTATAATTAATCTACTGTGCATCATTCTAACCTAAGATCCTTTTATTTTTAACGAATCAGGTTTGTAACTTACAGTTTTTTGTTGAATGTTTCTTCCTTTCTTTTTTTCATCATTCATATTGTATATTATATATTATATAAAATTATTCTCTTATTCATTGCTACATATTTTATTTCTATAGCACTTATTTTTAACTTAATTATTTGTATGATGTTGGTGATACGATCTTGATGTTGCTGATTGATGTTTCTCTTTCACACTGATGTTTTACTCCCTCCTTTTCTCCCTCCTCTTCCTGCTCTCTAAAATTAAACACATAAATTGTTTTCTAAAAACTAGAATAAACAGCCCTGGCTGCTGCAGCTCAGTAGATTAAGCACCAGCCTTGGAACCAGAGTGTCACCAGTTTGACTCCCAGTCAGGGCACATGCCTGGCTTGTGGGCCAGGTCCCCAGCTGGGGCCCCATGAGACTCAACCACACACCGATGTTTCTCTCCATCACTTTGACCTACTATTTCTCTAAAAACAAAGAAATAAAAATCTTTAACAACAATGAAAAAT